ACGCAACTGCTTCCAACACTACCCTTCCTGTCCTAAATCTTCGCCTTCAGGTTGTCAATCGTGTTCTAGGACTCGGCCTCCTGCGTGAGTCGATGATGGTGTGCGCAGCATCAGCGCAAGCGAGCGCTAGGGAGTATGTCGGCGAGAGCATCGTATGTGATAACGATGCAGCGCACCTGGAAGCTTCCTTCCCATTCCTCGTGTCCTGAATTTTGGCCTTGACGTTGTCGATCGTGTCGGAAGACTCGACTTCGGGTATGGGTGTGAAGAGGATGTGCACAGCGCCACACCTCGATGCTTCCTGCCCATGCCTATTATCCTAGATCTTTGCCTTGATATTATTGATCGTGTCAGAGGACTCGACCTCCGGCGCGCGCGTGAGGGGGATGGTCATAGCGGTGGCCAAGCAAGCCCTAGGGAGCATGTCAGCGAGAGCGTAGCCTGAACGACAGCGATGCAGTGCACCTAGAGGCTTCTTCACTACATGCCTTTTCTATGAATCTTCGGCTTCAGGTCGTCGATTGCGTCGGAGGACTCGATGTGAGACGCGAGCCGGAGTAGTATGTGCAAAGGGCCGGCGCAATCGGGGCCTAGGTAACATGTCAGCAGGGGCGTAGTCTGTATGGCGAGGTTGTAGCGCGCCTAGGTGCTTTCTTACTATGCTCATCGTCCTGAAGCTTGGCTGTGACGTTGTTGATCGTGTAGGATAACTCGACCTCGAGCGCGGGCTTGACGAGGACAAGCACAGCGGCGGCGCAAGCGAGCCCTACGACGCAACTTAGCGAGACAGTACGGTGGGTAATGATGACGCAACGCACCTAGATGGCTTATACTACGTCCTTTGTACAGCATATTCATCTTGACATTGCTGATTGTGTCTAATGACTCGACCTGGGGCAGGCCTGATGAGGATGTGAATAGCGGCGGCGCAAGGTAGCCCTAGATAGATGTCAGCATGACCGCGGTCGGTACGATGAAGAAGCTCGATGTTCCCTTACTATACTCCATGTCCTGAACCTTCGCCTTCACATTGTCGCTCGCGTCCGAAGACTTGGTCCCTAGCAGGGTCTCTGAGACTATGTACACGGCGTTGGCACCAAGGAAACCTACGGATCGTGTGAGCCAGCGTGTGACACCAGTATAGACAATAGTCAGACTGTGCGCCAGACGACATCGAGTTCTGGATATACATGGTAGTAAGCCAAATTCTGACCATTGATCAATAGGGGTAGTCACGATCCTACTCGTGGAAAAGGCTGGACAACGAGCGAGTGCTCGTGGGTTTCACGTCAGCTGGCAGTAAGTGATTGACGCCCATAGTTGAGTATAACCAAGTTCCGTAGTCGTTTGCGGTAGCGTCCAGGCCCAGCGTAGCGGGATGTAGCCCGACGGCGTCGTAGAGTATGCTAACACGGCAACAAGATACCATGAGTGCGGGGGTAAGTAGCGACTAGAGTGATCCCATGTGCGCCCAAGCTTGGTAGCCGATGACGACCGGTTCCAAAGCTAATCACGCCACGCCACGACGGCGTTATTCAGTCATGAATATTGAGAGAATAATTCATGGCCCGGGTTATGTGGAACAAGCTCTCATGGTGTCAGAAAGAAGGAAGGCGACAATCAAGGTACCAAGCTTCGGCGCTTTCCGCGACTTTCCCGCGCACACGTTTCGCTAGTCAATATGTTCTTGTGCTTCTGCCGCGTTCAAGTATAGAGTAACAGTCCCATATTTTCCATTGCATAGTTCGAGTCCGAAAGAGCGTGCAGTCAGCTATGCTATGATAGAACCCGCTGCTAACTTCTGACCCTCTCAAAGAGGTTCTACTAGCGGTACCGCCGTTCTCTTCATGGTATGCGTCAGCAATGATGGGGTCCATATCAGCTCTTCATGTACAAAGGGAACATTCCTGGGTCTCTATCTGAACCTCGTGGACGGCGTGACGCAGCCGTTGTAGATGGGCCTGAGTGCGTAAAACATTGTTACACAGGCAAATGTTTCCTCGAAGCGAAATGTTCATCGCAGCTTGCAAGGCCGCGGCTGTCGATAACTGCGTCCACCATAATCCTTGTATTCGGGTTGATCTTGTCCTGTCCAGTCCGCGCAATATGAGATCTTTCAATAGCGGTAGTAACGTGAGTCGGGAGTCAGCCGCCAACATTGCCAGGAAGGCGTCTCCACATGTCTCGCTGTTTCGCGATACAGTTATGTCCAGAGTATGCACGTTATACATGCGAAGCATGTTGAGACGTAATACGCCACGATCAAGATCCTCTGGCGCATTGAGAGGCGATAAGAAGGCCCAATCGCGATCCTGAGGTGCTCGAGGAGGGACGTGAAAGATATTGTGATGGGCGGCAGCGATGGGACGGATGGCTCTCCGATTTAGTCCAAGTATCGTCACTGGCATACGGATGACTTTGATAGCTTTCGTTGCCACACCTGAGAGAAGATGTGCGGCAGTAAGGGGGTTGCCGTGATCTCTTATATGTTTGCAACGATCCACCGGTAAAGTTGTTTCGATAGTTACGTTCATACACTTTGCGTCCTTGGGAATTCTGGGAGTCGGGTCGACGGATTCGCTAGACAGAGCAAAACGAATGCGCTGGCTGCCAGTTGATAAATCCACGATTGAGCCAATTTCCAGGGTAGCTTCGGTATCGCTCCCCGAATGCGTTTCAGCGATGGAACGAAACAAGGCTAGGAGTCCGATCTCGTCTGGGAGGGCGAACTGTCGCTCATTTGCAAGGTGACAGTGGTCGTCATCAGCGAACGTTGTCTCCACCGGTATATGAACGAGTACAAGGATAGTCGAAACCTCAATCCTATCCATCAAAGAAGCCACCGTGACAATGGACTGTAAGGCGATATTGGATGTTGGCGCCTTGCGGGATAAGTCGATTGTAAGGGAGCACAGACGGGGGAAGTGTATCTTGTCTTTATTGAAAGATCTGTCGTTCACCCGAACGTAGCCTCTGATTGTGATGTACGCCGCATGTGTGACACCGAGCAACATCCTGAAGATAAGGTCGGCCCCACTGATGTTAAGCAAGGCTTCTTGCACTTTGGGCGCCTGGACCCCGATTGGTGAGTATGCAACAAGCCGTCGCAGGTGGGGAAGATGGACATCCGGTACGCTCGGAAGTGGGCTGAGTCCGTTGACAACAAGGAGATGGAGTTCTTCCAGCGGCCCTCCTGATAGTCCCTGTAAGACAGAGGTCCAGTCGTGACGAGAGCACGAGCGGCGCGGAGCATATCGACAGTGCTCTATGTATAGAATCTTGAGCCTAGGTGATCTCTCGAGTACGTTGCGAACGTGAATCATATTCTCCTCCGAGATGGATCGAAGCCCAACAATGAGCGTGCGAAGAGAGCATCCGTCCACGACCACTGGTATATCCATCCGAAGAGTGTGAAGCTTTGGAGCGCGCACAAGAAGGGCTGTCGATGACTCCTCAAAATCTTTGATTGCGTACGTGCGCTGTAGCCAAAGGAAGCGGAGATTTTGAAAACTTGGTATCGCGTACATCGTTTTGACCAAGTCCGACCAAGATGCCCAGTCGCATTTGTAGCATTCTAAAGAATCCGCTGCTCGTACTTCGTCAATGGCGCTCCCTCTCGCCCACAATCCTAGCGTATTGAGATGAATACGTTGGTCCATTGAACGAAGAAGTAGGCGGCCCCTGCCCTTCGATGATGGGGCGAAGGATGCTGCAGATGTCCACAACGATTGGCAACGCAGTATAACTGTAGCCCAGTGGGAGCAGACCGCAATGCAGGAGAAGAAGAGCCGCAGCGGATGAAACTTCATCTTTCGATCGTTGTATGAGCGGGTAAAAATGGCGAGATGGAAGATCTCGCTGAGAATCTCATTCGAGAGAAGACCGATATGCGATGTTGGGCGGCGATATGGTATGCGTTCAAAGGACACGAGAGGTGGGTTGCTGTAGCTCTGCAGGCTGACACCGAGTTTTCGGAGCTGGGCCTTGAACTGACGGGTGATGTTGCGCGCAAGCGCGGGCGCCTCTCGAGTACGAGGAGGCCTTGCTGCCTCGCAGACATGGACAGGCAGTATTGCCTCCAGACCAGCGTTGTAAACTGGATCATGGGTAGATGACCTACGTGTTGAGTCAGAACCTTCCCTGCCTTGACTAGATGGTCCGTCATGCGTACGAGATGACATCTGATAAAGCCTCCATACGAGCAGGTTCACAAGACAACTACAGGTTTCAATCATATCAGAGTTCGCAAATGGCTGCTAGTAGAAAGCAGGTGACCACGTACCTATGGATTGGATGGCGGCCGCAAGAGCAAACAGAGTTGCGATGTCGAGAAGGTCCTCAACGCCGCTTATCCTCGAGCGACTTGTCCGAAATTGACTTCTCGCCAAGCCTTGATCCTAGGCATGCGCCTTCCGGAAGCCGGTCATCAGTGGATCTCTCGCTTATAGGCGGACCCGGCGCAGCAGGGCCCCGCCCATAATAGATCGCGAGTCTCGAGGCCTCAACTTTGGCGTCCGCACTCGTAAGCCTTCGTAAATACGTAGCGTTCATGGTGTTTGAAGCCCATCTTTGTACCAATGTTGAAGTTGTGCCATGAGCGCGGACGCTGAACACTGAGCGCGAGCCCTTGTAGACGACTAGATGACGGTACTCGGAAGTTTCATGGTAGCGCGCGGAAAGAAGAAGGCGTCGATGACGAAATGGCATATTGACCTTATCTGGCGCGGACTCTCACGCGTTGGTCATTCGGGCTCCGATGCCTCTTCTCACTCAATCGATTAATCCGCCTCTGTACAAGTGATGATAGGTGCAAGGTAGTTCGTTGACAAAATGATACATAACACAGTCGACACCACGCATGAGTATGAACAAGAAACAGCGTATACAATAGCCACGTAAGTACAAAAACGGAGACACGGATCACTATGGGATGTGCACCCAGCACTATCTCNTAAGTACAAAAACGGAGACACGGATCACTATGGGATGTGCACCCAGCACTATCTCGTGCAGTTCGAGCATCCGCCAGCCGGAGCATTGAACGTGAGGAGATCAACCAAAGACTGAAGCCTTTTCCTCAGTATGGTGTCCCGGAGGAAAGTTCTGCAATGGCAGAAATTCCCCTCCACCACAAGATGCGCCATTGGTACACAACGAGTGTTTGCCGCCAAGTAGCCCCGCACAGAGAGCAGGTCCTCAAGCTGACGCCAGATCTTGCCATCCATCGGCAACGAGTCCTCGCCATGATACCTTACAATCAAGGTTCGCAGATTGGGCATGGTGACACCCTCTTTCGCATTGCGCAGGTCCAACTTGCCGTCTTCGATGAGCGTTTCAAGCAGTTGAAGGCCATTGAGCCTGCGGACTTCGTCCAAGTCGAAGTTGAGCTGCGTAACTGCCGTCATGGCGCGGATATTGCAGCATAGCTGTGCGCGGTCCCGTGCGTCGGATGCGTGCAGCGGATCGGACAACGTCAAAGACAATTCGGCGTTTGCTTCGATAGCTGGGTGCTGAGATTCCCATCCATATGGGTTAATCTCAGGTTCGCGGTCCAGAGGCATGTATACTGCCTCGACATGCTCAGTAGCGACTCCCGACAAGGCATGAACGACCGACAGTGGCGACTGGACGTCGCCTATGCCGCCTGACGATGGTGACGAGTAACCCGACATGGAGGCATGTATGCTGATTCCGTCTGCAAAGCCTCCGGACGGATCACCAGACACGTGGTCGTCGTCGTTCAGGACGAATATGGCACCTGGCTCACACCAACTTGAGCGCATCATGATCGTGAGCGATTTGTGGCGTCGAGCTTTGGCTTGCCTCAGTATCCCGTCGAGAGCGGTGTTCGTAGGACCCAGCAGTGCCCTGTCAACAGCGCGTCTTGTGGGCAACCAACTATTCAGGATAGGCGCGTCGGCGAGTGTGCAGGGAATATCGAGATGGACGAAGAGCCGACGAGGAGACATATCGTTCTGTAAGAAGACCGCAAGATCGGCATTCGAACTGCATCGCCACTCCACAACGCGGAGGTTGGGAAATTGGTGGGTATACCCGTCCATTGTATCGTCGTGGGTGAGTGGCTGCCCATACCAGCTTCGCATGTTGACAATGATGCGGTCGACGCCCGTGAAACAGGGCAACATATGGCGGAAGGGCAGACTGTCAGAGATGGTGACGTTGACCCACGCAAGCTCGGGCGCGTCGCTCACAATGAGCATCGAGTGCAGCTCTATCGTCTGTATTGACGGAAACTTCAGTGGCTGATATGCGCTGATTGTCTCCAGGGAAGCGTAGTCGTTGTCCAAGACGAGTAGGACCTGAAGGTTCCGTGAACCTGAAAGAGGCTGAAGCAGGTGTTGCCAACAGTCGTGCGTCCCGTTCTTGCGAAGCATACATCCGCTGTCGATCCATAGTTCCCGCAGACTTGGGCCACAGATCTTCAAGAAGGTGAAAAGATCCTCGTCCGCACACCAATTCGTTATACGCAAGGAGTCGAGGTGGGTCGGCACACATTGCGCGGGACCATTGATGCGGAAGTTCCTCAGCCGGATGGCGTTCGGAAGTCTTAGCCATTGGTCTGTGCGGCTTTTCGCGACGAACGTCCTAAGGCTTAAGCCATGCGCCCTGATCGAGTGGTACCAACGAGCGTGCTCCTCCTCTACTGTCACAGACGCGGCGAAGTTCAAATAACGGCGGAAGGACTTCGGGCGACCCGTGGCCACAATGGACAAGTTACGAGATGACTGGTATTGCGCAAGAGATGCCACGATGTAACGCTGGGCGACGGTCGTTGTCGACGCAAACGCCATGCCCCATAGAATGGGCGCCAACCGAATCTTGAGCGCCCATGCGTAGTTAAGCGATGCCAGCGTTGTGATTAGTTTCAAGTTCTCGCCCGGCTCATCCCGAAGTGCCTCGAATAAGATGACCTGCCATAATTCGCATGGCAGACGGAGGAAGGCGTCGGCCGTCACGTTACTGCGGGTGGGAAGGCGATGGTTGGCAAGTGTCGGTGTGAGGGGCAAGTGCGAGAGGGCGCCGTGGTAAACGCGGGTGCCTTTTGCGAGTGGAAGGAGAGACGGCGGTAACAGAGGCTTGACGGTCATTCGAGGTCGCTCCGCCCGCCAATAGATCGTAACTGCGTTGGGGAGCGCGTCCCATTCACCGACTCCTCGATCACCGTCAGAGACATCAACGTCGTCGCGTCTGAGTCCAATTAGCCTTACATTCATCCTGAGCATCACA